CACACATAGGAAGACCAGGGAGGACAGAGGTGACCACGCACAGGAAGACCAGGGAGGACAGAGCTGACCATGCACAGGAAGACCAGGGAGGACAGAGCTGACCATGCACAGGAAGATCACCTCGGAGAACAGAGCTGACCACACACAGGAAGAATGAGAGAACCTGAATGTCAACCATAGGTTCAGGTGGGTGAAAGATGAACCTTCCATGGTGTTAAGAATACTGGAGGAGCAAACAACAAGACTGTGTGCACCACACTCCACACAGCCTACCTTCCCAGCATGACCTCACCGAGGTCCCCACTCCCTGGTGGGGATCAGTCCAAAGCCATCTCCACACAAGGCCACAACAGATCTGTCACAATGTAGGGCAGCAATGCCAGCACTGTTCCCTGCAGAAACCATCCTCCAGCCCCAGGAGGAAGCTAGGGCCCTGCACAGGGCCATGTACAGAGGAACCTTCTAGTTCAGACAGAAAAGTATGTACCTACCAGATGCCAGTGGCTCATGCCTGTAATTCTAGCTACCCAGGAGGCTGTGATATGAAGACTGAAATTCAAAGCTGGCCCAGGCAGAAAAGTCCCCATGAGACTCTTATCTCCAATCAACTACTCAAAAACTGGAAATAGAGCTATGGCTCAAAGTGATAGAGTGCTAGCCTTGAGCAAAAGAGCTCTAGGACAGCACCCAGTACCCAGACCCAGGCCCAGGCCTAGAGTTCAAGCCCCCACAACTGACAAAAAAAAAAGAAAAGAAAGAAAAGCAGGTGCCCACAGCCAGACAAAGACATTAGAAGATTTCTTAGACTATTACAGCTCTAGGTTTGTGTCCAATGTCTAGTAAGGGCCCTGAATGAACAATAAATGTTTTCTGAGTTCAAATGATGTCCAGAATTGGACAGCAATGTAAGTAGACAATAAAAATATTTTATCTATTTTCTCCCAACATTCTAAAATTTACAGTCTGGGTAAGAGTCAGGAGATGCTTTGTTTTGCTCCAGCCAGCACCATCTGCTGCCTCAGGCAAGTCACTGTCTGAGTACTGAGCTTTGTGCACCAAAGTCAGGACACATAAGTCTGGCCCCATCCTGACTTGGAAAAAGAAAAGGTATAGCGAGCAGCTGCACATGTGACAAGTATTTCCCTGCTCTCCAAGGAACTAGAAAGTATTCTTAGGAATGGCTTCCTGATTCAGTCTGAAGTCTTTAAGTATCACCAGGGGCTCCTCTCTGAAGTATAAAAGTGTCTCTTATTTACAATACAAGTAAACACTGGGGTTCAGGTTTCCAATTATTAACAGTAAAGAAGAGTATTCCCACCTGAGAGAAATGTTTCCCACAAATGTTACATTCAAAAGGTTTCTCACCTAAAACAAAGCAAAACAGAACAGAACAATTTGTAAAATCCATACTAATATTTACACATTAATTTTCATTGTAAATGTTCAGATGCTACCTGTGTCCTCTCTTTCAAAACAGAACTTTATCCTGAGGTAGGACAATAAGAATCAATCTCTTTGTCCTTATTCTTATCTCCCATCCGAGATGCTACAGATGTGATCAAAGTCTTTTTTCCTCTAAAATCAAACTGTTCTCTGGATAAAGACCTACAGTGAAAGCAAACCTATTTATCTGTGGTTGAAGACTACCAGAGTTCTCCTTCAGCTGAAAATCAAATGGGCAAATGTGTGGCACACCACGTGACCCTGTTCACCTGCTGTTTGATCTGAGTCTGCTTCACCATGGAGCTCTAACGGATCCACACCATATGAGATGTGTACAGGGACACACACACACGGTGCATTTTGCATCAAGCCACACCCAGAACAGCTGTGGCTTCTTGTAGTGGCACTCTAGTTTGTCGCAAAGTTCAATACTTTAGGTCCTAGAAATTCAAGAGACTAAGAAAAACACAAGGAAATCTCCCTTTGTCCTGTGTGTGCCAATCAAGGAAGGGTTTTTTCCTGTCCTGTAAAGTACATGTTGAGGTACTGGCTTTAGTCTACCCAACCCCTGTAGACACAAGGAACCACAGAACATTTGTTCGCCCTGCCCCAACAGATCCACTGGCTTTGCTAAGATCCTTTAAAAAAAAAAAAAAACCAATACTCAGCCAAGTGCCAGTGACTCATGCCTGTAATTCTAGGTAGTCAGGAGGCTAAGATAGTGAGAAGATTATCTCTTATCCAATAAACTACTAAGGAAAAGCAGGAAGTGGCACTGTGGCTCCAGTGGTAAGAGCCCTAGCCTTGAGTCAAAGAAACTCAGGGACAGTACTCAGGCCCAGAGATCAAGCCCCAAGACTGGAAGGAAAAAGAAAAAAACAATACTCTTCCCCTCCCCATCTTCGTGGTAGTGCTAGCTACCACAAAGAAATCAGCTTGTTTTTCAAGTCTTATATTTTTTCTTTTTTACCAAAAATGTCTCCTAGCTCCCCTGGCCCTGAGTGATTATAAGAATGCTAAGTCTCTATTTTGTCAGAAAATATTGGGCTAATAGATGGCAAGTTATAGACGTGAGGGTCACCAGTCACCAAGACTGAAGAGCTTTGTTCTCTGTGGGCTGAATCCATCAATGTGTGCCACATTAGAAATGGAAACAGTATTTTTAGGACACAAGTCCACATCACTCACTCAAGGTGACAAGGTCAGCACCCACCATGCAGCCACTGCGCACACGAGGAGGAAAGCCAAGTCCTGCCTGCCACGCACTGCTGGCACAGCTCAGCCTCACAGATCCCTAAGGGTCCCCAGACCACACCTGGTGCTGTGCTCATTGTCTCTACCATGACTGTTCTTGTCACTCAGAAGGACCTCTCTTTAAAGCTAAATGAGTATAAGGTAATTATAGACGGGCATCAGTGGCTCACGCCTGTAATCCTAGCTATTCAGGAGGCTGAGATCTGAGGATCATAGTTCAAAGTCAGCATGGGCAGGAAACTCTGTGAGATCTTATCTCCAATAAACTACCAGAAAACTGGAAGTGGTGCTGTGGCTCAAGTGGTAGAGTACTCGCCTTGAGCTGAAGAGCTGAGGGATAGTGCCCAGGCCCAGGTTCAAGCCCCACGACCAACCAAAAGGAAAAAAAAAGTAATTTAAGTAAACAGCATAATATAAACTAGTTTTCAGGGCAAATTCAGTCTATGATGTCTTCAGATGGAGTAACTTTATAATACTAGTTAAAATGCACTAACTTTTACAAAGGGCTTTCACAATGATTAATCAGTCTCCAAAAATGCAAATGGGTAGAATCTAAATTGTGACAATGAACGCAATTCTGTAAACACTGTGTCATTCTGGAAGCATCTTGTGGCATGTTACCTTTCAAGACGAAGAGATAACTGTCATTAAGTTGTATGTGCTATTTTTTGTTCGTGAGCTAAGGTCACTGTATCCACTCCAAGGCTGGTTTCAAACTCATTCTCCGACCTCAGCTTCCTAGTGTTTAGTTTCAGGAAGGAAAGTAACATATAGGCGTATGTGATGTGGTATGTATGTATGTAGGTGTGTATGTATAATACCTTAAAATAACTGTTTAGAAATGGGAGACTGTATGAATTAAAATAGTAATAACCCCTTGAAAATTCAGTCTAAAACAGAAGAATGTTCCATTTGAAAAGATCAAATACTTAAAAGTAGAGTCTAAATTTACCTCCTGCCTCCTAAATCACTATTTTTTCAAATCAGATATATTCAAATTACTTGAGAGAACTTTTAGAATGAACTATCTATATTTTCAGTGACATAGTTTACAAAATAAGCTTAATCTAATTCTAAAGAAACAATATAGCTTATGAGCTTTATAGTTAAAAAAGTTTTGAGTGAGTCAAAATATGTGCTTCTTAAGAGATGAACAGTTTACCAAAAACTTAACTAAAATCAAAATTAAAAGTTGCTGGTTTGCCTGGTACCAGTGGCTCACACCTGTAATCCTAGCTACTCAGGAGGCTGAGCTCTGAGGACTGCAGTTCAAAGCCAGCCCAGGCTGGAAATCCATGAGACTCTTATCTCCAATTAACCAGCAAAAAGCCAGCAGTGGAGCTGTCGCTCAGGTGATAGAGTGTTAGCCTTAAGCAAAAATGCTCAGGGACAGTGCATAGGGCCTGAGTTCAAACCCAGGACAGGCACAGGAAAAAAAAAAAAGAAAAGAAAGTTTGTCATCTTTTTGCAATAGCTCTATAAAACTACTGAACTTCAGGATACACCACAAAAATTGACCAAAAAAGAGAAAAAGAAACAAACAACTAGTGTCCTCGATTCTGTTAAGAACACCAGGACGAGTCAAGAAAGAGCAGAGCTTCTCAGAGAAACGGACAGCGGGCTGTGAGGTCTGGCAGCTCCTTCCTGGCCCGCGCACTTGTCAGTGTACCTGTATGAGAACGTTTGTGCAGCTCCAAATTGCTTGGATGTTTAAAGGGTTTCCCACACAGTTCACACGCATACTGTCTCTGGCACTGAAGGGCCTGGGACTGCTCCTCCAGGGTGGCCGGGGCCTCGGGCCTCTCCATCCCACCGATGCCACAATTCAAGTCCTCAGAGGCTAGTTCTCCGAGTTCTTTTGCTTCAGTGCATGGGCTGTGAGCTTTCTCTCCCCGGTCTTCACTAGCAGGTTCTACCCTCTTTGCCAAGCCATCATCTAAGCTGGGGTCCATTGCTGGCTCAGCTGATTTCTGTGCCTTGAGGAAATTGAGCTTCTTCAGGTGAACAGCCTTTTTAAGCCTCATCTGCCTGGTGGGCGGCTGGCAGGGGGCGTCTGACTCAGGGTCTGGGGTGGAGTCACTGAGCGGTGGGGCCAGGAAGGTGGAGGGCAGGTCCTCTGAAGTCTCCAGTAGACATTCGGGATGACTGACTGCACACGGCTGCGTTTCCACGGCTGCCAGATCTGCGGAGGCGCTGAAGGCGAAGGGCTGCTCGGCCACCCGCTCCTGGCTGGGACAAGCGGCCTGTTTGTAGTACTGCTTGCTGTACAAGTCTCGCAGTTTGTAATAGTAATTGGGCTGCTTGCAAGGCGGCTCTGCGCAGCTGCCGTCTAGAGCCTCTGGGGCTTGCTTTGACATTTCCCCTGTGGAATGATGGAGACGGTCTGACGGAACATGGGAATGCGACCCATCCAGAACCTTCCCAGGTTGGGCCTCTGCTGAACAGTCCTGCAGTAAGTGAGGAGGGAAGTGTTCGCTCATGACACAGGCAGCATCTGGGGTGAGCGCCCCCTGCAGGGAGAAGGTCCCAGCGCAGGGCAGGCCGGGAGGCTGGTCCACAGGGCTGGACTTCAGAAACGTGTGACACAGGTTCAGCACGTTCTGAACCTGCAGACACTGTGCCGTGTCCAACATCACTTGTATATTGTCCTGGTTAAGATCCAGGTGGGACGTGTACATGAAGTCCAGGATCTGCCCTATGCCGCTGACGTTTTTAACATCCAAGTGGAAAACATCATTCTTCTGGCTTGAGGAATTCTGAAAGAGGCTCCTGACAGGAGAAAGGATAGTCAGTGATGGTGTGAACCATGTTTTCTTACGAGTTACGCACATATGAATATTGAAAACTGCTATCTTCCTATGAATGCCAAGACACTTATTCCAGAGACTCCTGTTCAAACCTAACTAGAAATTTCACTTGTGAAAAATATCCAAATGGGACACAAAAACTAAATGCCTTTAAAAAAAAAGAAAGGAAAATATCAGATAGGATGCTTTCCCTACTAGTTTCTTTTTTCTTTTGTCTGTCGGTCGTGAGGCTTGAACTCTGGACTTGGGCGCTGTTCCTCAGCTCTTCAGCTCAAGGCAAGTGCTCTACTGCTTGAGCCACAGCGCCACTTCCAGTGTTCTAGTGGTTTATTGGAGATAAGAGTCTCACGGACTTTCCTGCCCAGGCTGGCTTTGAACCTCGATCCTCAGATCTCAGCCTCCTGAGTAGCTAGGATAAAAGGTGTGAACCATCGGCGCCCAGTTCCTACTAATTTCTTTTTCTTTTTTTTTTTTGGGGGGGGTCCGGTTGTGGGACCTGAACTCTGGGTCTGCGCGCTGTCCCTCAGCTCTTCAGCTCAAGGCTAGCGCTCTACCACTTGAGCCACAATGCCACTTCCGGCTTTTTTTCTTTTTGCTTATGTGGTGCTGGGGAATCGAACCCAGGGCCTCAGGCATGCAAGGCAAGCGCTCTACCACTGAGCCACCTCCTCCTACTAATCTCTTATTGCAGAAAAATTCAATTTCTTATTTACTTTATCCTGGAAGGAAAATCAAAATATAGAGTGCTGAAAATACATAGAATTAAAATTCAAGACAAACTTGCAAAAAGTGTGCCATCATTCCTCATACATCACAGTCTTTTTGGGCTAAAACAAAAGCAGTACTATTAAACTGAAAATCAAAATAAGAAACACCACAGTCCCTATGTCTGTTTAAATGAAGGATAGCAAAATCCTTGAATAACAAGTGGCCCCCTGCAGGTGGAAGAGGCAGTGGTAAACGCACCGGAAATACTGGCTGAAGGCCGCCAGCACATTCTTATGGGCTTTGAAGCAGACTCCCCTCACCACCAGCATGCAGTCACAGAGCAGGCCTTGGATCCGCTGCTCGTGCAATTGCTGCAGGAGGTGGCAGCTGTGGGTAGCAACAGGGTCCATGCTTGACCATGAGACCTAGAGGAGAGAACGCAGGTAAGGGACATTCATGGGTACCACAGGGACAGAAGGACTGAAAGCCACCAAGTGCCCTATGCTTCCCTGTCAAGTGATCTATTCTCTGGTCACGCCTGTAAAACTGTGTGGCAGCAACTAGACCCTGCAGATCGGCGGACCTATCTGCATGGTGAAAAGTGAAGTGCTTTTTGCTCACCGTCCACACGGTACCATGGCCGTGTGCAGTCATGGAGTTCTTGAAATGCTGTCAATTTATATTTAAATGGCCACTGAATTTGACAGAGCAATCTAGAATAGGACCATGACCGGATACATTAATTTCTTAGTCTATTTAGAAATATGCCAATTTAAAAATATGCCAATTTAAAAAGGATACATATCTATAAACACATACAAAGTTTTTAAAAAGCCAACTAATTAAGTGCAAGCCTGTACTTGCTAAACAACTACACAGAGGTCATTGAATCAGAAAGACGCTGGAGAAAATAAGAAACCTATTTGGGGAGAAAAGCCACAAGTCAAAGTAACTCCTACCAAGGAAGCTTCACAGAGGGGTGTGCCCCTCACTGGGCACGAGGGACTCTGATAGCTAGAAGCTCAATCTAGAAGGCAGCAGTTTATGGAAGAAGCTGCGGGAAGAGATAAAACCAGACCGGGACAGACTGTGGGGAATGTCGGTCTGCTACACTGAACTACTAAGACGTCATCATGGGTTTTCGTTGATCATATGACCAGTGCACGAGCAGCACCAAAAAAATCACTACTCACAAAGCCACCACTCACAAGCTTCTTTTTCTTAGAACTGGGACTGAACTCAGGGCTTCTCACTAGACAGCACTCTACCACTTGAGTTCTGCCCACCCCTAACCTAAAATGCTTTGCATGGCCCCTGCTTCCTTCCCATCATTTCCTTCATTTATTCCCTGTTACGCAGTTTGGATATGAAGTGCCCCTCAAAGGTTGATAAATAGAAGGTTTTGTCTTTAGTGCTGCAGTATTCAAGGGTGGTCTTGAGAGCTGAGTGGATCATGGGTCTCTGACATCAATGGGTTATTGATGACATCATAGCTAGGGGGACGGTTGTGAGTGAAGCCTAACTGGAGCAAGTTAGGCCTTGGAGGCATACTTTTGAAGAGTCCTCCTTCCCTCCATCCCTTCCTTCCCCTCTTCCTCTCCTTCCTTCCTGCCATGAGATGAGTACCTTCCTCTGCCACACATTCCCACTGCCACTAGTTTTGGCATTGACTCAGGCCCAAAAAGGATGGATGGAGCCAACCATACACTGAAACCTCTGGAAAAGAACCAAGGTAAACCTTTCTTCCTCTTGTTTCAGGGATTCTTTTGTGATGAAAAGCTGAGTGGCATATTTCCATATGTGCCAGGCTAGATGAACTACCTGTGGCTCCCCAGACATGCTATGTCTAGGCTAGCGGGCTGGGGCCTCAACTGATCATTAGCTACAGGACTTTGGTCTACTGCTGCCACCCTACCTCAAAGATTCACGGCCTCTCAGGTAAACCCGGAGAACAATATTCTGGATTCCTGCAGGTTATGCCATCCTATAGCCTTGACCTGCCAGCCTCACTCACCCTTTCTGAGTTTTCAAGGTGATCAAATGAAAATGTAGGCGAGCACAAACAAGAATGGGATGTATGAATGTGCCCTGTGCACAGAAATATCAGGAACATACTGCTTTTTGATCTTTTGGCCATTCTGTCACTCCTGTTGCAAAGTTTTGCAAGCTCCTTCACAGAATATGACTGCATGAGAGGATCGGGCCTTAAAAGAGGTGATTAAGATAAAATGAGGTCCGATTCCAATTCCAATCTGACTGACATCCTCTAGGATGAGATATGGATACAAATACACCAAAGTGTAATTGCACAATGGACCAGCCAGAAGAAGGCCATTTGCAACGGGGTGACGGTTTTCAGAAGCAAGTCAGCTGTAAAAGGCTTTATTAACCTTGAGTCTTCCAGCCTCCGAGGTTGTACGGAAACAGATGTCTGTGGGCTAAGCCACCTGGGTTGCTGTGTACTGTAACGTCAGTCTGCACGTACCTGCTATTCCATACCTGTTTCTCACCTTCCTACCATGCACACTCACCTACCCTGGAGTTGATTCTCACCTCTTCACCCCATTCAACTTACCTAAACTGACCGCCCCTGGTACATCGGATTCTGGAAGGGCTTCTAAGGTTCACTGAGCGCTTTCCAAGTGGCAGGCCCTGGATGAGTCCTTTGACCCGCACCCGCTCTTGATGAAACCCTTCCAGATCCCAACAACAGAGGGACTGCTATAATGTCCGTTTTACAGTTGGGAAACTGAGGCACAGGAGGATCCTACTTAGCAAGGAGGCCCGGCTAGGCGGCCAGCTCGGGGATCTCAAACACCGCCCCTCCTGCGGAGTGGTGCGGGGACGGAGCAGCCCAGGGCTAGGGCTGGCAGGGCCTGGAGAGGCGCGGGAGGCCCGGTCCCGGGCCTCGGGCCTCGGTGTCCCCCGGTGCCGGCCTCGGGCACATGGGCGCCGGCTCTCCCCGCGTCACGCCGGGGTGAAGGCGGCTCCAGCGCCCCGGGCCGCGCCACCCGCGCCGGCCCCGCCCGTCCTCCGTCTGCACGGCCGACGGCTAGCTTACCCCGGGAGTCCGCGCCGCTCCCCGCCCCGCCGCTGCCGGCCCCGAGGTCCTCAGCGCCGCCGAGCGCCGGGCCCCACAGGCCGCGGAACCATCTTGACCACGCCCCCTGGGCCGGGCCGACTTCCGGTCTCGTCACGTCCGCCCGGGGCGTGGCCGCGGCGCGCAGGCGCGCGAGGCTGCTCCCGGTGGAGCTCTCTGCGCGGCGAGCCCCGAGGGCGGCGACGGCGGTTTCACGTGTTCCCCGTGCCGGGTGGAAGCCGTTGGCGGCCCCGGCTTGAGAGGCGAGAGGTGAGAGGCGGCAGCCCGCGGGCCCGGAGGCTCCGGGGGAGGCCGGGGCCGGCGCTGCGCCGGCGGGTGAGGGATGCGGTCGGTCTGGGCGGCCGCGCTGGGCGGGCGTCCGGGAGCACGGACGCGGGTCGCCGCCGCCCCGGCTTCGGGCCGGCCGGCTGCACGTTGGGGACGGGGCTGCTGGCGGAGACCCGTCCCCGCCTGAGACCAGATGAGCCGCGCTCGCCTCCAGCTGCGGGTGGCCCGGCGAGGCCCCCCTGCCCTCCCGCGTCGGCGGGGCGGGGGACGGGGGAGGGCGCACGCAGGGGCCGGGCGGGACGAGCCGCGCTGGGACCCCCTCACCCCGTGGCAGGCCTCGGCCCACGCGGCTCAGGTGATGGATGGCCCCGGGTGGCGAGGGCGGCCGCTTGGGAGACACCAGCCACAACTGGCCGGGCCTCCAGTGGAGGAGAGGTGCGTGTGGCCTCACATCATCACGCACTTGTCACCCCCTGTGCAGAGGGGGAGGCGGGATGGCGGGCTCCGAGTGCTTGTCTGTGCTTTCTCTGAAGGAGCTTGGGTCCAGCCTAGTGCGCCAGGCCTTCGGCTCACAGGTGACGTGAACTTGAAGTTTAAAGAGCGCAGCGACTTGCTCTGAGTGGAATGCCTGGGCTTTGGGGGCTGGAGGGGGCAGCCCACCTTTCAAGTGAGCCATTTGGGAGAGAGAATACGCTTGGAGAAGCAGGGCTGGGCATAGTGTCACTCCTGTAATCTCAGCTCCTCGGGAGCCGAGGGACATCTAGAGGATCTGGACTCCAGGCTGGTCTGGGCACAAAAATTAAACAAGACCCTGATCTCAACAAATACATTCAAGAATATCGCCCTAGCTGCTTGGGAGGAGGCTGAGGTAGGAAGATCACAGTTGGAGACTGGTCCCAGGCAATTAAAAACAAATAAAAATACAGAAGACCTGCTGGGCTCTGGTGGCTCGTGCCTATAATCCTAGCTACTCAGGAGGCTATGATATGAGGATCATGGTTTAAAGCCAGCCCTGGCAGAGGGCAGAAAAGTCCTGTGAGACTCTTATCTCCACGTAACCACCAAACTGGAAATAGAGCTGTGTCTCAAAGTGGTAGAGTGCTAGCCTTGATCAAAAGAGCTCAAGAACCGTGTGGCCCCGAGTTCAAGCCAACCCAGGCCCTCAGTTCAAGCCAACCAAAAAACAAAACAAAACACCAAAGATCCTATCTGAAAAATAACCTAAAGCAAAAAAGGGCAGAAGGTGTAGCTCAAGTGGTCACGGCTTTGCCTATCAATTCCCAGGCCCAGAGTTCACACCCTTTACCATCAAGCAGGGGAGGGATGTTATTTTTGTAAGAAAACAAAAAAATACACAAAAACATAGAGGAAGAAGATTTAAAAGTTCCAATCGGAGAAGCAGACTTACTGGGATGTGCTGGGAACCGTGTGGGAGAACAGGCACTCACGAGGCAAATTTCTTGACTTGTCCCGGGGAGGTCTTTCTATAGCTGGGAGGGCTCTGCTGTGCTCCACACAGCTTAAGGAGGTAAGTGTTAGGGCTATCTAACAGACGGCAGGTTCTGGGAAGTTTCAGGGGTCCCTGGCAATGGCAGAGGCAGGTCCTTTGCTTGTGAATCTAGGCCCAGTCCAACATGACTGGGCCACTCCCTTGGTAAGTGAAGACCCGGCTGCCCGCGGTCCTTTGCAAGTTTCCAGTCTCGCTGGCATCTGCCTTCCAGTCTAGCAATGCCCGTCTATAACCCTGTGGTCTTGCCTGTCATGTTGTCACGTGGGTGGCCTGCTGACCAGTGTGGGCTGGCTTTGGGTTCAAATATTTACATGTGAAAAGTCTCCTCCCCCCCTTCCGCTCAGAATGAAGAACTTCAAATGGAAAGGTAAGGCGGAGAGCTGGAGCTGGGCCGTGGGACAGGCCACACAGCCCCCTGAGCCTTCTCCGCTCTGATGGGCAGTGGTGGTATGCTCGCTGCCCCCCTGGAGCTGGGTCATCAGTGTGAAGTGGCTTTGTTGTGAGCTGAGGACCCTGTGCTCAGGCCCTTTCTCGGTGGAACATGGGCCAAAGTGCCCCCTAGGACCTGGCTGCTTGCATAAGGCAGTTCTGATACACACATAGAACTCTGCAAATGTCCACTGAGTTGGGTGCTCATGACTCACCATACCGGTGGGCTAAGCCATCCCCAGCCCTTGTCTTGGACATACCATCTCTCTAAAGGAAGACTCAATTGCCATGGCTGTAATTAGGATTTGCTCAGGGAAGGCAAGGGCAGGGAGGTGAGGGGTGTCTCTTATACTGGAAAGCTAAGACTTGAGCTGTGTTCTGTCCCTAGTGTTCAATGTCCTGACATTATAACTTCTCTCATTTATCTCAAGTCATCTGGGTGATATAGTGTTACTTGTTCAGTTGGGGCCATGTCTGCTTTGTTGGTTAGCATGGGATCTTTTCAAAGCTGGTGGCTCACGCTTGAGCAGGTGGGAGAGCTGCCCTGGGACAGGGTCTGCACAGGGTTTGCACACTGTTGCAGTTGGCTGGTGTTGATGGTTCTGAGCTTGTCATTTTCTGTGCCCAGGCAAGAAGTACTTACTGTGGAATGATGAGCATTGTGTTGGGGAGGAGTCCCTAGGCCAGCATGAGTGTAGTCTAGGTGACTGTTGGGCTGGTGCGATGTGTCCTCAAAACTAAGCTCCTTACAGATCTGATCTCCTTAGCCAGGCAGGAGACGCACTGTTCCATTTCATCCTACAGCAGACAGTAAGAGGCTGGAAATAAACAGGTGGCAGACCAACAGAAAGGGCTGATGAGATGTCCGGTAGACATGTGGCTCACTCCCATGCTCAGAGTGGCCATTATGCTGTACTTCAGAGAGTGTGATTGCCTGGCTTCTTTTCAGGTCTTGCATTTTGTTTCCCTCTTGTGTTTTGCAGGCCTCTGTTTATTTATTTATTTTTTTGCCAGTCCTGGGCCTTGAACTCAGGGCCTGGGCACTGTCCCTGAGCTTCTTTTGCTCAAGGCTAGCGTTCTACTGCTTGAGCCACAGCACCACATCTGGCTTTTTCTGTTGATGTGGTACTGAGGAATTGAACCCAGGGTTCCATACATGCTAGGCAAGCGCTCCACCACCAAGCCACATTCCCAGTCAGGCCTCTTAATTCTTGACAGCATGTCCCCAACAGATCATCCTGTGGATGGAGAAGGTGGGGGAAGGGGTGGTCCTCCAGTTGGATCTCAAGGTTTGCTGAAGCCTTTCTCCCTACTCTTCTCCCCTTGAACAGGAAAAGGTGGTCCTCAGTAGCCCAGGTGGGAAGTCCTAAGCAGCCACAGGCAGGACTGTAGATATAAGACAACATTTAATAGATCTAGGCCGTGAATGATGTTATAAATATCCAAATGGCCTTTCACAGACCATTTGTTCCACACCTCTGTGGGCTAAGCCACAGTTAAGGTTAGCGGGCTGTTCTTACTGTTTTCATTGTAAAAAAGGCTTATCTTTTTAAAAAATTACCTTTATTAGTTGTACAAAGGAGTTGCCACTTAACAAAGCAGTTTATGAATACAATGCATCTTGGATCAGTGTTGCCCCTTTCAACATTTTTACCCCCTTCAACCCACCCCTTTTACTTTTTAAAATTTTGTGGTAGGGTGCTGGTGGCTCACGCCTGTAATCCTAGCTACTCAGGAGGCTGAGATTTGAGGATCGAGGTTCAAAGCCAGCCCAGGCAGGAGAGACCGTGAGACTCCTATCTCCAATAAACCACCAGAAAACCGGAAGTGGCGCTGTAGCTCAAGTGGTAGAGC